GACTAGGGAAATACTTTCCCTAGTCTTAGTTCGATATAACTGAAAAAAATCTTTAGGATTTGACTTTGCTTGCTCTGCTATGCGAACTTCATAGTTTCTTTTTGCTTTCCTAATCTCTTTTTTAACATTTCTAACCAGTTGTATGAATTCCTGTTCTAAACTGACTTCCCCATTCTTAATCCTTTTGTACCAAGCTCTCTTTTTACCTATAAGGTTCTTTAAATTATTTGTTATCCACTTTGGGTCATTAGTATTCGTTCTATTCAATTTGCATGGTATACTACGTTCCTGTGCTTTGTTTAGAATATTCTTAAATAAGTTATATATTAAATCCACATCGAAATCCCCTTTTACGTCACCTATCGCTGGGTTTATGTCTCGCTCCAAGACCGGCCCACACTCCATACCCAAGACTTTCCAATCTATTTGACCCAAAAAATTTCTTAGGCTATTAAAATCAGCTTTTCGAAAATCTGGCACTTTAACAGAATTTTCTCCTACAGGTCTTTTCCATTCTATGCTAAATCTGATTACTTTGTGATCACTGTTCCCTAGCTCACTCCATATTTCGATGTCATAATGAATTATGAATTATGAATGCGTGTTTGGGGTCGACCGCTGGTGGAATGGACGTGGTCTGAGGGACGGGTTCGGGAGAGAAGGGTCGCTGCTTTAACGAGCCTGCCGTGAGGACAGGTTGCAGTTGTGGCAACCACTGTTGTATCGCCACGTGTGAAAACCGCCACTGTATCACCACCACACATGACAACCACCAATGTATCACCTTTCTTAGTACTAACACCACTAGCACCACCAAAACTAACCAATCACCCCAGTTTCCACATTACACCACAGTCAACCACAACTCGCTACCACCAACAACCACAATGTACCACCTTCCACCGCTACATCACTCATTGTATCGCACCATTGAAAAGTTCCGGCGGAAACACCAAGCTGGACCAACAATTGTGTTCAGAACCTCGCCCTCCCAGTCACGCCCACACCCCGCCACCCACACCACCCCACCCACACCCATACCCTACCACACACCACCCCACCCACACCCATACCCTACCACACACCCCCTCCGCCCACACCCCCCACCACCCACACCACACGCCCAACACAACGTCATGATGAAATGCATGTGGGGGAGAGAGAGAGAATGGGGGAATGCAAGGTTGCGTAATGAAAGCATAATTCCCCTGTCACCCTAACTAGGCCATTGGCTCTATATAAACAAATATTCATCTAGCCTCTGGGTTGGGCAAACAAGTTTCCTATTTGGCGTAAGTGTTCATTGGGCCGAGTGGAGAGAGTGTATCCAAAGAAACACGTTAATATCTCTATGTACAGAACTCGCTAATTGGCATTAATTATGATAATTAGCGTTGTATAGGTGTGAAGTATGGGACCTCAAAATAATTATTATATTCTGATTACGGTGTCGGAAACAGTGACCTTGTATACATACTTTAGTCCCCCCCCCCCCCAAGGTCACAACCATTGCCAGGATGCAGCCCACAACAGTTGCCTAACTCCAGGGTACCTATTTACTGCTAGGTGAAGAGAGGCATTAGATGAAAGGAAACATACGCAACCATTTCTCTCCCTCCCGGGAATCGAACCCGACGGATTCCCAACTGTGAGTCGAGAACAATGTTTTTGTTTCGTCCATTATTATCCTCTGATCACATCACGCGATTGTGGCTCATGAACGACTGACCTAAATCTGACTTGTCATTTACGAAACGCCTATTAACCCCACAGGTTTCCTGTTGACCCTCTCCCCAGCCATATATGGACCCCATGGGTGGTCTCCTCGACCCTGGGGGTCAATATTGACCAGTATGGAGAGCCTTGTGGCCGAGAGCAACTGCCAACTTTCCCCTGGATGTACCCCACACAACAGCTCCCTCCTAACTCCAGGGTACTCATTTTACTGCTAGGTGAACAGACGCATTAGGTGCAAGGAAACGTGCTCAACTGTTAGTCCAGGGATTGAACCCGAGTTCCTCGGTTGTGAGGAGAGGACGGAGACCACTATGCTATGGACTATATTTAAAACAAATGTAACTTAAAAATGATTGATGTTTCCATCTTTAAAATATGGAGTCCCATCCCATGGCGTCAAGTTAGGGCTAATGTTTGTTAATCAAATCTGGAAGAGCGTAAAAGAATTTTAATTATTTAAAAAATGAAAAGCATAATAAATGCAAATCAAGTTTTTAATTACACTTCACGTTTTAGTAAACGTTATACACGCAAAATAAATCTCACTTATACATGAGATACGTCTATGTATTGGTATACAAACATGTTTTATTGAGTTTTCCGAGTTATAGATAAATAATACAAGGAATAAACGGCAGCCGTGGAGTTGGCATCCCTGTCACCTCTGCAGGAATTGGCATCCCTGTTACATATGCACTCCCGGAAATGACGTCAAATTGAGAAACAGCACATAGGAACTCGGTACAAAAATCAGGTATAGCTCGCTAAGTACTAGTTCCTCTTGGCCCAGTTCTCGTTAAAACCTGGTTAAACTTATCATATCATTTGTACTCTAATTAATGTTATATCAGTGTTCCATATTATTACTACTTTAGGACCTACTGAAAGGGTATTAATACAGACTGAAGAATGTTGGCAATAATTATGCCAACAATACTGTAATACAGTATCACAAATATTATACAATACTGTAATTCTTTTTCTCAGTCTCGCGTGGGCTCGCTTCTGGCCTAGCCTATTGTATATAGATTTTTTCCATTTCAAAATACGATAAAACAAATAAATGATATTATACATATTTGCTCATATGTTGGCTGTATCGGTAGCCTCACAGGATGAATATGTGGTCCATTCCTGCTCTCGGGAGAGATATGTGATGAATTGCTCACAGGATAGGTATGGGTGGAGTCCACTACCGCACAAAGGATGAGTATGGAGTGCACGTCATAAAAGTATTTGTGTGTACGTCTGATAACATACTACTTGTGAAGGAGGAAATGTATATGTTTATCTCTCAGAATGTTTGGTAATATGTTTATTGTTTGTGATGTGTGTCTATGTATGTATTAACACGTTGTACTGAACGGGGTGAGAATAGCTTGAGCTACCTCATCCCTTTGTGTGTATTTTACCTCAATAAACTTATTTCAATTTCAATTTAAATTCAACTTCTCACAGCATAGGTATGTGGTGCATTACCACTCACATGATGGGTATGTGGTTCATTACTGCTCATAGGGGGGGTAATGGATCCACTGCCGATGACAAGTTGGGTATGCTGGAGCCACTATCGCCCACAGGATAAGTATGGGGTCCACTACTGCTTACAGGATGGGTATGGGATGCACTTTCTCTCACAGGATGGGTATGGGGTGCACTCTCTCACAGGATGGGTATGGGGTGCACTCTCTCACAGGATGGGTATGGGGTGCACTCTCTCACAGGATGGGTTTGTGGGTGCACACACACAGAATGGGTATGTGGGTGCACACTCACAGAATGGGTATGAGCTGCATAATAAATGAACTGATGTAGAAAAATATAACAACGTAGCATACTCATTTATGCTAGGAATAACGTCAGTGTCGAGACACTTCACTCATGTTGTCAGCCAGGAGTACCACGAGTGCTTCAACTCCCACGTCACAGAACTCATCAAGGTGGAGCGAGGGACGCAGAGTGCACACTGAGAGGTCCCGCCGTCAACTGCGGCCACCCGCTTGGCTGCTACGGATTCTATGGTGCTCCTTTTTTCTTCTAATCAGGAACGTTCGAGCCCAAGCAACCCACCTACCTTATCGAGGCCAATGCGTGGAAAACGTCAATATTAATGTGCTTTCGTTTTTACTAATGCGTTATATTTTTAGCGGATGGGTTGATAATGTTAAAATACAAGAAGTATGACGGAACATTCTTTTTCAAGGGAGAATTGAAACATCATGCTATTACTGTCATGACGTGTAGTAGCAGCAGTAAAGGACAATAAGTGTCACAATATCTTGTAAGCTAAGTGTAACAATGGAGTTCTCAGAGGACCTGCAATTGCTCCTTGCACTTGCAGGTCCTCTGTGAGAACCCTGGTTCTCACAAAGGCTCACACTAAGGCTCTGTCTATTGCTGTTTCTGCAACAGGACCTGTTATCATATTGAGGTAGGAAGCAGATTTATTTTTTCATTCAATAATTATGAGAAATAATAATAAGGTCTAATACAAAAAAACTCAAATCATCATCTCACAGTCTCCAGTCTTATATGTAATTATGTATTTGCGTAATTATGTATTATGTAATTGATTTGCGTCAATAGTCATCAATACATTTATTTTAATGAGATTTCAGCAGAAATAAATTTTCACAATGAGTTTAGAAATGTACTTTTTTTTTGTAAGGAAATATAATACATTAATACGATTAACACAAGCAATAGAACTTTGACTAGGTAATTTTAATGAAATCAATTTAATTTTCTAGGATCATTTCATTCCCACCATCCTACCAAAATAGTGAACATTTATTTATTATTTTATTTATAAATTTGACAGAAAGAAGTAGGAACATTAAAGTAAATTTAAGGGTTATCCACAGGTACAGTTTAGCACAATTTGAGGACTATTGCAAGATATAATATAGCCAACTATGTGTATAACAAGATATAAGATAACAGCAATGATTACAATGGTAAAGTTGTATGGCATAGGTACATATTTTTAGGAATTGGACAGCACTTGATACAGTGCGAGTTTCAAGCACTAGGTAGGAAACTATGAAGATGAAATTAGGTTGTTGACTACTACGTTTAATAACAATGACGGCAGAATCTAAGCATTAAAAAAATATGCAAGCATATATATCTAATTTTATAATTAATAGTTATTTAACATATGTATTAATATAAATTATTTTGTATTATATATATTTTATAATTACAAAGCGGCGTATTGAGTATGAATTTAGAAGTTCTCCCCCCCCTCGGCCCCTCCCCCCCCACCCCCGTCCATGTAAACAGAGGCCGTGTTGGAGGCTGTGCAGCCTGGCTCCAGTTACTTTCGACCCTAAGTGTAACTTCTGCGAGTATAAAACTTTAGAATTAGCTGTTTAAAATATTAGAAGAAGAAGCTCATCTGAAGAAGGTGGTAGAGGTGGAGTGTGGGCCGCCATGTCGAAGAAACGTAGCAAGGAAATCATGAAGTTGGACCTCTATGAAATTCTGGAGATTCCTATACACTCAGAGGAGAAGGAGGTTGGTTTTGGGGTCATTTGTAGTACATGGAGACGTTACACAGGTGATCACTGAATAGGGTGAAGGTTATGTACCTTTCCTTGATGCACCTGTAAGCAGCATTAGTCTTACAAGGGAGCAGTCCCCGTGGCGTAATGATAAGACACTTGCCTGGCGTTTCGTAAACGTTTTGGCCTGGGTTCGTATTCTGGCCGGGGAGGATTTACTGGGTGCCAATCCTTAACTGTAGCCGCTGTTTACCCAACAGTAAAATGGTACCTGATTTTTAAACGATTTGGCGGGTTGTATTCCGGGGAAAATTAGAATTTAGAACCTGCCTGAAATGCTATGCATGCTAGTGGCTGTACAAGAATGTAAGAACTCTTGTATATATAAATAAAAAAAATCGATAAATAACAATATAATGGTTTCATCCATAGGACAGTTTACCACTTGATTTTGGAGCTAATTTAACCTAATATAATCAACCTACCTAACTCAGCCCAACCCATCTTAACAATCTAAACAGACCTACCCAAACAGTTTATACAGTTTTAATGATTAGAATATTAGCTCCGTTGGAAAAACACGTGTATGAATTGACCAGATACAAGTCACTTAGTACCCAAAACGGTTTTCCAATTAATTTTAAAACCTTCTTAACCTAACTCAAGTTAGCGCTTAACCCAACCTAATCAGCCTGACTTAATAATATACTGTATATAGTTTTAAAATTAGAAAATGAGCTTTGTCAAAATGCATGTGTTTGTGTTTTGACCATACTCCAATACTGTATTACAATTCTCCAATTTCACCGTAACTGTAAATGAATATCAGGACCATTTCTAATTTCACCCTTTCTACTAGCCAGGTTTTAAGAGTTAGGATAGGCAAAGATAAACTTCGATGGCTAGGTTCGGTTAATTTGCTTAGATTAGTGCAGTACGTAGGTGCCATGTTAAATTTCATTCTCGGTAAGCTTACTGTTGATTGTTAAAGGTTATATACAGTATTGGTGAACATAATTCCAAATAATATTAATAATGATAATGAAATAATGATAGTACTGTACTGCATTTAAAGTTTACCAAAAATGGCAAGCCAGTTTAACACGTAGAGAATTTTGTAATGCCATTAGGGTAGAAGATAGGGCACAAAATCGACAGTGAAATGCCATCTGTGATGTCACAATTAATAGTAAACAAGATTTTGTGATTTTTCTGGGGCGACATGGTTCTGTAAATAAATACAGTAACCTCATGGATCTGTAAATAAATAACCTTGTGGCTCTGTATCCAATATATGTAAAATATAGGATAAGTGGAGGTTCTTGAGGTTTGGATATATGCTGTAATTTACATAAAAATGTTTTCAGAACATTGTATATAGTAACTTAAGAAAGGATGTAGGTTTCATTCGAAAATGTGTTTTTTTAATACACTTGCACATACACTGGGTCTTACCTTCACCATCATTCAATCACTACAGCATTTTAGTAAATTTATCAATAATCCAATATTACTGTATTATTATCCACATCTTCCTTGTTATTTTTTGGTTATAACAGAAATTAATGAGAACATTTTAAATATAACTTGGCAGAGTTTAACTGCTATGCAGTATTACTGTACTATATAATTAATAATAATACAGTAATTCATTGTGTTGGGGGGAGGACGGATAGCCATTATACACATACAGTAGATGTTAGGCTTATTTCAGGGGTAATGCCCCCGCAGGGTCAAATTTTTACCCTTCCAAGGATGCAACCCAACATCAAGCTGACTAACTCCTGGGGTACCTATTTACTGCTAGGGGGGACAGGAGCATTAGGTGATAGGAAGTGCACCCTAATCATTTCTTTTCCCCCAGGATTCGAACCCTGAATTTTCAATTGTAGGTCAACTTCAAACCCATCTGTACTACTGGGACCCCTCACAGGATATGGTCTAACTGCAGATAATTTTGTCAATTTAGAAAATGGCTATTTTCCACAATTATTCCTCCCTGCATAATATTCTGTTTGAATATAAAAATAGTTCCAAAATTTATTACCAAAATATCCACAAAATTATTTAATATGTTAGTAGTGTCTCTCTTGCTTCACAAAATATGAGTACAGTATTTTTGTAAAATTGTACGAGAAGGTAAGTAGGATAGGTAATAATTTTATCAACTAATTTATGTAACTACCATCACTGTTGCAACTTTTTCAGATAAAGAAGTCGTATAGAAAAAAAGCTCTTAAATGTCATCCAGATAAAAATCCTGATAACCCAGATGCTGCTGATGAATTTGACAAACTAAAGAAAATTCTTGAGATTTTGTTAGATCCAGGTAAGGATATTTTGTTGCTCTGAACATATTTGTCCATTACACATTAAAATAATGTGATATACTCTGCTACTATATATTTTAAAATGTATTGGTTTCATGTGCAAAGATTTTTATTGTTTTAATTTTTGTTGCTGTAGTGCGGTGGTTTATGTCCTCGGCTTATAACCGAGGATCTTGGTTTCGATCCTTGGGCAGGGCAGAGACAGTTAGGCACATTTCCTTTCACCTGATAATTCTGTTCACCTAGCAATAAATATGTTCTCAGGTGTTGGGCAACAGTTGTAGATTGCATCCTGGGAAAGGTCATCAGGAGTTGGCCTAGGGGGGACTTTGATAAGCTTAACAGGCTTCCTGCCCCTGACTCTGGGAACCATATTGTGAATCAATAGTAACAAAAGTTATACAGCAATATAGCATCCAGAGATTAAACTTCAGTTTATGATGGCAGGCCCCTAGACAAAGATAATGTTTTGGTTTATTGTACTACAGATACAACTATACCGTACTGTACTGGCATGTACACATTTTCCGAGAGGGATCCCTTGGTAACCGTTCAAGCTTATCTCTGATACCTTGGAGGGATGAGGTACTATAATTGAAGACCCGACCATTTCTGTCAGCCTTGGATGGGGCAGCTCATTCTGAAAATATCAATGCTTAAACCCCTTCAATCATTTGCTTGTTTTACCCGAGTTTACCTGAGAGCCACTAGTGGCCTCAACAAGGACAGGAAGCCACAGCTTGTCAAAGATCCCCTTATTTGCCTAAACTTGTTTTGATGTACTTATTCTTTTTGATGGCTTATTCTCATTTTTGAGCTTGTCTCTGATCCTGAAGCTCCCTATGTCTTGTAAAAAGAGCCATATTCTGGTCCTGGTTTCTGGTAGACTCAAGTGAGTCTCGGAGCACTGGTGCATTTTGTAAAGACTTGGCAGCCCTAGTGCTATAGGTATGGTGGAACACAACTGAGTTGCCTACCAGAAAACGCATTTCATTACGTTCAATGCTTGATTTCTTAAATGCCTCTGTCAGTAACCCAATACACATGCCAAAAATAGTTCTTGTGTTTACATTTGTACTATAAATTCAACTTTAGCCTTGTGCATTAAAAAATAATATTTAAAATTTTGGTAGAAGCATTAATGTTTTCGCAAAATTTATAAAAAAAAGGGAAACAGTATAGATAAAAAAAAGGTTTAAGATAATGTAAAATTACATATACCTGTATATACATTCACCTTAATTTACAATACTGTACTAGAAAGTAATGTTCAATCCCTAGGAACACGTAAAGCATATGACAAGGTCCTCAAGAGTCGTAAGGCGGCAGCTATTAGAGCCAGTGAAGTTGATGCCAGAACACAGAAGTTAAGATCAGATTTGGAGGTACGGGAAAGACGTGCTCAACGCACTAGGGAACAGCTGGAGATATCAGAGGAGGAAAAGTTAGTACATTTTTCACATTTGTATTGTATTTTACCTGCTTGTAATTTTTCTTTGGTTAGTGACATGGAACTTGTAAATTGATTACCTTTAGCATTAAGGTTAAGTTTGAACAAACTAGAAATCTAGATATGTATGCCCTTAAAATAAATGCCACCTATGGGAGCATACTGTACATACATACGCCTTCAGACAAGAATGGGTATCACCTCCATCCACTATTGCAATTAAAATAGTGTGACTATAAACACTTTATTTTGCAGTAGAATTTCTGATCAGTTTGTGAAGGTTGATTTGTGTTGTGATAGGGGACTGGTTTACAGTCCCTGGTGACGTAGTGATAACACACGCCCCGTGTGTGTGTTTGGGTTTGAGTCCTGGCCAGGAAGGACTGACTGAGCACCAATCCTTAACTATTCCCCTCTTCATCCAGCAGTAATTGGGTACCTAATTGTTAATCGATTGGCAGTCGTGTTCCAGGAAAAACTAGTAAGGTAAGGCTTACCATGAGCTATTGAAATGAAAAGCTCTCGGACTTGCTAAGATGAGTCAAATCGTCTATTCTTGTACCCTCACAGATGCATCTGAGACAGCGTCTTCGTCAGTAATTTCTTTTTTGTTAAGTGCTAATTTTATGAATATAAAAGACATAAACAAATGATCTGGGTTTTGCTACAGAATGTTATATGGAGGTAATAAATGTGTGTTGTATTTAAGATGGATTTTGTACACTAATAGTATTAGTTGTAATAGTATATTCATAAATATTCATTTATATATAATTTAAATCATACATAATACAACTGTCTGTGTATATAATCAATGAGCTTTATCTTGGAATATATTATACTGTACTATATTAAAAAATAACAAGAGTAAAATTTAATTAGGTTAGTCTTCAAAAAACTTATTATACATATTCTGTACATTTATGGTTGATTATTATTACGGTAAATCTTTTGAAGTTAGGTACACTAATTGTGACAAAACTAGAGAAGTTAGATACATTATTTGTGACAAAACCTTATTCAAATAAGAATATCTGGCTATACAGTATTTATATGGACCTTATTACTATGTTCCAGACTTCGACGTGAATTAAAAAGATTGGAAGAGGAAGGTGAACGGCTTATTTCAGAGGAATTGGATCGAGTAAATAGACAGGTTGAGGAAGAGCTTTCTCGAGGTAAGAGTAACCTAATATATCTTGTCACAGTATCTCAAAATTAACAGTTAAAACCCAGAGTTAGACAAAAAATTGTATTTTCAAAGCAGTTTTGATGGCCACTGCAACCATCTTCAGCCGAGGTTACAAAGCTCGCTGCATTTTTTTTTTTTTTTTTAGCTAAGGCTGTAATAACACACTGCAACTATCTTCAGCTGAGGTTACAAAATGCAATGCAACCATCTACAGCTGTGTTATGTCATGCTCCCAAGCAAGGCTTGTGGAGTAGAACTATTCCTCGTAAATCAGTGAACCTCCTGGCCTCAAATATGTAAGTTCAAAATGTCTAGGGTTGAGTGAAATTCTTAGTAAAATCCACCAGTTTACTGGGGCAAATCTATTTACATGACACAGCTTATTTACTGTGTCACGTACTGTCATTATTTCCTTATGACTGTGTCATACAGAGACAGTTGTATACTGTATGTACATACCCACGTATGTATACAAATGCCATACACAAATGTCATTATTTACTTAAGTCTGTGTCATACACACAGTTGTATGCTGTATATACATACCCACAACCAAGTAACAGTTGAGTTAACACAAGGCACAAGTCACAGCAGCTAGATGTCACTAAGCAAAGATAACTCGATAACATGGGTACACGAGACATCTTAACACTTTCGCGTCCTGGGTGTGCGCGTCACAAACTTTGACATCGTGCCCCCGGCGGTGTGGGCAAGCGCGCGGCGACACCGAAATGTGTATATTTGTTTCAGTTTTCTCACCTTACTTCTCGTGCTGCGTCGTTCGTTTTGGTATCATTGTGTTCGCAATAGGATTCCCTACAGGTGTATGTGCATATAAGGTCCAAAAGCCCGGCATGACTCCCCTTAGCAAAGTCTAAAGTTACTCGTGAACGAGCACCAATTGCACACCCGCAACCTAATGTGTATACTCGTTCGGTTTGATAACATCAATTTTCGTGTTACGTCTTTCGTTTTGGTATCAAATTGTTTGCAATATAAAGGTGCGTATTTTAAAACTAGTCCCATAATAATAGAACAATAAATGGAATTTTAACAAATATTTTAAAATTTGGACCAAAAACGAATTTATAATCTTTCCAGTGTTCTGACATCAATTTTTGTGTTACATCTTTCATTTGGGTATCAAATTGTGTGCACTCTAAAGGCGCTCATTTTAAAACCACTCCCAGATTGATCGGATAAAATTTAAAGTTTTAACACACATTTTAAAATGTAGACACCGATCTCATCACCGACTCAGATTCAAGAGAAAAATTTCTAAAGCCTGGAGCATTTGAAGAGTACAAAAGTGTTAAGACTGGCTGTTAAGTTGTGGACGTAGTAGGTGGTGAGGTTACATAACCAGATTGGGGGTAATGTCTCGGCATGAACGTCAATAAACACAAGTCCGTGAACTATCACTTTGTCCTTCAGAAAAACTTAAGTTCCAACTGGATTGGCAAATGGCAAAGTAAAAAAAAAAATTCTCACAATTGAGTCCACAATGACTCAGAATATGACAGTCAGGAAACTCTCTACTGAAGTCCACAATGAATGACAAATGGCAAAGTCAATTACTCGTCTTCAAAAGTTACTGTTCTGGCAGAGTCAGGAATCTTGTCTCAAAAGTTCACAAACCCTGGAATTTGACTAATTCTGGAGAGGAGATTCAGGAATTAAAGTACACACAGGTATCAAAATATGACAGTCCCAAAACGGATCTAATATTACAAGTCACTTCATCCCAGGAGTTACAATTTGAGAATTAGTGATAACACTTAATAACTCTGATCCACACAATAATACCCCTCTTACCTTACTAGTAAGAAGGCAATAGATAAATACAAATATCCCTGATATACTATTACTCGGAGCACACACTACAACATGTGGACCCCCTACAGAAACTGACAGACAAGTGAAAATTGCTGCTTCCCGTCTCCACAGGTCAACTAAACAATACCAACCTAAGGGTATATGCTTAACACACTCTGGGTAACGAAAAGACAACATAAGTAAATTACACAACCCGGGAACATACGCAGATGTTCAACTACTCAAAATAATAATTACGTATATAGTATATATACATACACAACAGAAACAAAAACCTACAACCACCGCACAGGTTGGCTGCTGTGACGAGAACACATGAAAGCACACTTACTCAGACACACATGTGTGGGGCGGGGGGTCACTGTCAGCAGCCAGCCGCCACTCGTGCAACTAGAAGTTAAACACACAACAACAACGATAATATAACATAATAGAATGTAATAATACCACAATACATGTGTATACTGTATAATGAAAGTGCAATAGAGTACATATATGCATAAATTTTAATACTGCAGTGTAAAACTGTAATAAGAGATACATTAACCCTTTAACTGCATGGCCTATAAATGACACCCCCCCCCATCCTCAGTGCGCAAGAAATAAATTCTTGGGAAAAAATAATTTTTTTATTCTGAAAGTGTCAAAAACCCCTCCCTGTATATGGGTATAGCAACGGAATTTCGAAATTGTACTTACTATGGCTGCGATGGGGTCCGTAAGGTGGCGCGTGACGTCATCATTCCCCGTGCGCCCGTGCCGTGAGCTCCCGGGGCCGGTGGGGCGCCCGGGGCGGGGCGTGTGAGTTGCTGCGAATATATTTTTTGCACATTTTTTGCTCACATTTCCAAATACAATTTATTACATTTTACATGCCGAACAGATGTATGGTGAACACATACTCTATATTATGGCAGTAGAACATCTGTACTGTCCGTAGACAGTGTGTTACGTGCATGATACTTGTGTACACATATGTTGCACATATTTACCATGTATCATGCTAATTTATGTATATATACAATCTATTTACAGACTGTACACTGTCACACATTATACACATTCACCATCAACACATTCAGAACATCGTGAGAGTGAGCAGCCACACCCAGACAGGCCCTCCCTCACTCCAATATCTTACTCGCCAACATTGCTCTTCCCACCATACTGTTATTGTTTTTATTACTGTACACTATTTACACATGTTATATATACCTATCTACATGTTTTATTTACCAGAACTATGCAAGTAAGCCGGTATTGTGTCCAAACAGTACAGTGGCCACCATACACTGCATGAGAAATCACACAGCAGACAGCAGACGACACTACGATTACGACGTCACCTCCCTCACCAAAATAGCTCCACTCAACATACTCCTGTTGCTGTTATTACACTATATACACACACACACTGTATATACCCATGTACATGTGTGTTCCCCATAGCGAACCACGAAGCTAGTATGGTGAGCAAAAAAAGAGTGGTTGCCACACAGTGAGGCTACCTCAATTCTCTCCCTTCCTCCCTCCCTCACCAAAATTCCTCCTTCCACAATACTACGCACAATGCTAATTATAACCACAATCCTGGTCACTAATTGCTGTAAATGAATAATTGACCACAAGTTTATTTTGAAAAGGAACCTAAGAAGTCGTTTGAAGATTCCTAGGTGGACGAAATAATGCTGTGGTGCTGTGGCTAGCACTGTGAACATCGTGAACAGCATTGAATTACTGATATTTGAACATTGTACCCAGTCATTTTCACACTAAGGCTCTTCTATAATACTATCATGGCTAAATAATACAGGTTATATATATATTTTGACATTATTAGGCGATGCTGTGGTCACACGCTGAAGAGCAGTGCTGTGCGCTCATACTGCGAGCACCAGCCTTGGTTGCTCACTCATTACTGAGGCTCTCATACCCGGGAATGTGGACCATGATTTTTTTAAAGATGGCGTCTGTTTACAAGAGCCCTGAGGAAGCTGATGTGAACTCCATGTTGCTGTGGGAGTTTTGAATGGAACGTGAAAAATACAAATACCTGGAGGCGCGTAGCGCACCCCAGATGTGGGCCTGCAAGGCGCGTTGTGCAGTTAAAGGGTTAACACATACAGGTATGACCTCAGTATATCCAATCTGAACTGGTTCAGCTGGGTCATAACAAGCTGAGGTTACAAAATGCATTGCAGCCATCTTCAGCTGAAGTTACAAAACAGATTAGTTACAAAACTGAAGTAATCTCGAATGAAGAAAGTGCCAGTTTGTAAAGAAACTGCTTTATAATTTTGTAATACAGAGGATTTTTATTTGAATGTAATTCGACTAACAAGAACCCAGATGTATCAGAAGACTTCTGATTGCAAGCTAATTGTGGTTGGTTGTATTGGAATTTAACTGAAGACTTACAGTGAATTAAATCCTTGTAATTTGGACCAAAAGCTTGTACTGAAAAAAATTGTATTGATATCAATAATATCATTTCCAAATTATTTTGGTATAAAAAATGCACATGTTCGGCATAAATGACAAAAAAATCTAAGCTTTGATGCTGTGCAAACTCTTACTGCAGATGGATCCTGCTTGAATCTTCCAATGTGAGCAAGAGTCCACTGTGCATTTGCCTCTTCCATTGTTGGTTTTACCATCATGTGTTGAGATTCCTATTACATGTATTATGATTATCATCCAGACACCTCAATACCTACTTGATAGTGTAGATAATTTTGATGAACACTTGCTACACACAAGCTTGTTAACAATTGTGTGTTGATGAATCATGAATTGCCATCACCGGCAATTGCAGGGAGGGGAGGGAGCCGGTCGGCCGAGCGGACAGCATGCTGGATTTGTGATTCTGTGGTCCCGGGTTCGATCCCGGGCGCTGGCGAGAAACAATGGGCAGAGTTTCTTTCACCCTATGCCCCTGTTACCTCGCAGTAAATAGGTACCTAGGTGTTACTCAGCTGTCACGGGCTGCTTCCTGGGGGTGGAGGCCTGGTCGAGGACCGGGCCGCGGGGACACTAAAAAGCCCCGAAATCATCTCAAGATAACCTCAAGATGATCACTGTGGCCTGATGAGTGTTCTCTATAATATTTGTTTTTGGGGGAGAGGAATCTTGTACTTAGGGGATATCGAAGTCTCCTTTGGTTAACTACCGAGTTCCCCTAACTGCAACCCAAGACAAGTGCTTGACTCCTAGGCATCTATTTATTGTTGGGTAAACAGAGGCATCAGGGGAGAGGAAATATGCATAACTGTTTCTGTCCCGCCTGGGGATCGAACTCAGGTAGGTCAGGCTGTAGACCACTACTATAGGTCCCCTCTATATCACAGCTATGAACCCTAGGGATTTGAAGAGGCTTTACTGCTTATTTAACCCTTTGGCTGTGCATCCCATCAGGTGATGGAGTGGCTAAATACGCTCAAACTGTACTCGCCTAATTGTGCTTGCGGGGGTTGAGCTTTGGCTCTTTGGTCTCGCCTCTCAACTGTCAATCAACTGGTGTACAGATTCTTGAGCCTACTGGGCTCTATCATATCTACATTTGAAACTGTGTTTGGAGTCAGCCACATCACTTCCTAGTGCATTCCATTTATTAACTACTCTGACACTGAAAAAATTCTTTCTAACGTCTCTGTGGCTCATCTGGGTACTAAGTTCCCACCTGTGTCCCCTTGTTCGTGTCCCACCCGTGCTGAAGAGTTTCTTTGTCCACCCTGTCAATTCCCCTGAGAATTTTGTAGGTGGTTATCATGTCTCCCCTTACTCTTCTGTTTTCAGAAGTGCATCCCATCAGGTGATGGAGTGGCTAAATATGCTCAAACTGTGCATCCCATCAGGTGAAGTACAGTATTAGGGTGCCACGGAAGATTTAAGTCCTGCACATACATGGGGCTCACATTTGCTTCCTCAGGCTTCCAGTACCCATCTGCCATCTTGAAAAAAAATCGAGTCCCCTCACTTTTCTTCTGGAGCCAAACTAAAAAGATGAGGACCATGTCTGGCAAATCATCTCCTCCATCTGCCCTAGGGCAGCCATTCTAGGACCATCAAACTTTTAATAATAGCAAATGTGTGATTACCATGCACATATTTACAGGCAAAATGTGTGCTGTGAGCAGTTATGAGATTTAGGCTTAGATATATTAGTGCTAATAAATATATGCTGTACATATGTTTATACTCATATCTGTATATATACAGTATTTATATTTTCTTAGTTATACATAATGAACACCATGTTTGACACATCAATACAACCTGTTAGAATGAGAAACTAAATAAAGTGAGAAGCTATGAAAATTAATTGACAAAGTTATTTCCATGGCACCGCGCCTCATTTGTACTCCAAAAATGCAACTTCTTGGTGCCACTACAGCTAAACCACAAGAAGCAGAGACTTTTTATTTGGATTTTCATGCTTCCTGGATGCTAATAACAATGTACAGTGGTACCTCGGTTTAAGAGTTTAATCCGTTCCTGGAGACAGCTCGTATTCCGATGCTAATTTCCCCATAAGAAATAATGGGAAATGAATTAATCCGTTCCTGACTTCCCCAAAAACCTCACTTCAAACTAAATTTTATACCTAATTCATCTAAATAAGCCTATAAAACTATGTTCAAGTTATTACTTACCCTTGTTGATGAATGCTGTAGGCATATAGAAGATGGTGAGGAGGGGGGAGAAGGAGAGGTGTTACTGTTTGGAAGGGAAGTCCCCTTCCATTATAACATCAGGCAGTGAGGACCTTTCTGGTGTGCACTCCCTGGCACGTTTTGCCTGCATACCACTGGGTCCTGATTGTGGCTCACTGCTCGATTTTCTCAAAACAAATCTGTCCATGGAAGCTTGTTTTTCCCTTTTTCGCAAGTTGTCTCTGTAGTAAGGCATTACATTGTCATTGAAAAGATTAAGGCAACGGCCTACTACAGCTTTCTCTGGGCGAGTCTTTTCAATAAAAGTTTGCATCTCTTCCCATATCTGACACACCTTAATTTGTGCAGAAGGGACATTTGCTACTGCCTCATCCTCCTCCACTGGAGAAACATCCTCAGCTGGGTCTTCTTGCTGTTCCTTTTGAAAGGCATGGAGTTCTTCGGTGGTCAGTTCTTCGTTGTGTTCTTCCACCGACTCCTCCACATCATCACCATCCAATTCCAAGCCCATTTGCCGGTCCAGAGTAACAATTTCCTCAACAATAGGCGCATCATTTACAGGCTCAAACCTCTCAAAGTTTAGTTCTGTCACACATTCAGGCCACAATTTTCTCCAGCCAGAGATGAGGGTTCTTTGAGTCACTTCTTGCCAAGCTTTGTCAATGAGTTTTAAAGAACTACAAATGTTAAAATGGTCTTTCCAGAACTCATTGAGAGTGAGGTTTGTGGCTTCAGTCACTTCAAAACATTTCCGGAAAAGTGCCCTTTCATACAGTTTCTTAAAATTTGCTATGATTTTCTGGTCCATAGGCTGAATTAGAGGAGTGGTGTTAGGAGGAAGGAACTTTATTGTGAGAAATTTACTGTATCTGTGCATCAATTCATCTTCCAATCCTAGAGGATGAGCAGGAGCATTGTCGAGGAGAAGCAGGGCCTTGAGTAACAAACCTTTCTCCTGCAGATATTTTTCTATGGCAGGGCACAGCACTTCATTCACCCACTCCGAAAAAAAATCCTAGTCACCCATGCCTTTTTATTAGCCTTCCACATCACACATTTGGTTTTTCTGCACTTTATACTGTTTGAAAACCCTTGGATTTTCAAAATGATACACTAGCAAGGGTTTAATTTTCAAATCGCCACTCGCATTTGAACACAGCACAAGCGTAAACCTATCTTTCATAGGCTTGTGTCCGGGCTAGGATTTTTCCTCTTTGGTAATGTATGTCCTCTTAGGCAATCTTTTCCAGAACAGTCCTGTTTCATCACAATTAAACACTTGTTGCAGTAGGCTCTGCAAACTCTTTAAATTCTTCAATAAATCATTCAGCGGATGGTTTGTCTGAGCTGGCTGCCTCCCCATGCCTCGCAACACTATGGATACCACTTCTTTTTCTAAATTTTTCAAACCATCCCCTGCTTGCCTTAAACTCTTTTGTATCTGCATCACTCATTCCAGGGGTTTTCTTTACAAGGTCTTCGTGCAATACCCTGGCTTTCTCACAAATGATGGCCTCCGAAACACTGTCATCCTTTAACTCCTTGTCGTGTATCCATAACAACTTTTCCACTTAGAGTATTTGTGGTCTTTGTTTCGTGATTGTTCTTACACCTTTTGCCACTTTAACACTCATAATGTCCTTTTTCTTGCTAAGTATAGTGCATATCGTTGACGTGGCTTTGTTGTACTGCCTACAAAGTTCAACAACACGTGTTCCATTTTCATGCTTCCAAATGCTCTCTTGTTTCTCCTCTAGTGTCATCCTCACATGGGCTTTCTTGCCTTGATCCTTACCACTGACTTTCTTGGGGCCCATGGTGAGATATATAATAAAAACTTTTATGGTCAACTGAGGGGTGAGGGGCGAGGGGCGACAATCGCTGTACCACCACGTGCTAGTTCGGCCTGTACGCGTATCAACAAACTCATGTTCCGAGGTAACCCTCGCCTTCTGAGGCACATTTTCTGAGCAAATCCTGCTTGTATTCCGAAAAACTCGTATTCAGGGACACTTGTATTCCGAGGTACCACTGTACTGTAATACATTGTGTGTTACAGTACCGGCATACACCCTCACATCTCTGGTCTTCTCTCCCCTCTGCCATATGTCCTGTAGCACGGTGGTCTATGTCCTCGGCTCACAACCGAGGATTCCAGCTTCGATCCCTGGGCTAGACAGAGTTCGGCATGTTTCCTTTCACTTGCTGCCTCTGTTCACCTAGCAGTTAAATGGGTACCCGGGAGTTAGGCAACTCTTGTGGGTTGCATCATGGGAAAGGGGCAGGAATTGGCCTGGGGAAGGGCCAACTCCTTGTCAGGGGCTGTATGTCATTGAACTTAACATGCTATGTCAACTTGTGATGAATCAAATTTTTAAAAATTAATCTGACATTTATCTTAATTCATCATTATTTCTTCTTTTAGCTTCGTCTAAAGTGTCTAAGAGCGGTGAACCCCCGGTTTCGGACACACAGGGTCATAAGATAAAAGTTAAGTGGGTGTCGACAGATGACTGGCCTGGATACACCGAGCAAGAAATCAACCAACTCTTCTATAAGGTATTTAGATATTCAGTCACTAAATCAAAATTATCTGTCATTTAATGACTGATTTGGGGATTTACCCCATTTATTGCTACAGCCGTTCATAATTCCCAGTAGTTGTAGATCGACTATTGCTATTCTTATTTTTTGGTCTCACGGAGATTTTTTTCTGTAGCCTAAATGATGGATCATGCCATCATGATCCATCTATATATTAGATATACATATATAATTATAGATATATACTGTATATAGTAACATATAGTATTAGAAATATGTAACTTACATATTAGATAACAATAAGCAGAGGTTTTTTGTAGTAAAATACAGTTAATACAGTATTTTACATTACTGTAATATAGTATTTCATTCACTTGGGATCATCTGAGGTTCAAACTTGGTACTGTACTCACAATTACAAGACTGTTGTCCTACCTATCAGGCCATGGATGTTATTACAGTAATAGTATAGGGTTTTTCTTACCCTTCCGTGAGTAGCTGTATGGCCTTGTCTCCCTCTTCAATGCAAGGCAGTACTGTACAATATGTGCAGGTGGCGTATTTTCTGTATGGCACCTGCATGGGTGCTGCATTTACTGTACAATATGTGCAGGTATTTACTGTACAATACAAGGATTGTATTTGGTATTTGATTCATTTATAATACTGTATAGTGTGTTACTAGTGCTTTCAAATTTGATATTAATCTGTTAAACCAGCAACAGGTGGTTTAACAAGGTAAACAACTCTTGTTGTTTAACAAGTAATTCACACTTTTGGGCAACGGGGGGGGGGAACAGAATTGTTGCAGCAATATAGAGAAAGACAAAGCTGAGATTAAACTTCATTTGGAGATGACTTTTTGCTTGTGCGCACTTATGATTTATGTTTTAGCTAATCATGTGTAGCAAAATAGCTGAACTTTTGATAAAAGCTGTACCTTGTGAAGTGTAATCACAACACATTGCTTGAATTGGGAGTTGAATTGGGAGTATACCCATGTTTATCACAAGATATTTACAGTTATTTTTACCATATATTATATGATACTGTAGTTATTATAGTACAGACAGCCCTCAATTTTCAGGTTGGCTATGTCCCAGTAAAATATGTGTAAAGCAAAAAAAAAATGCGTGTTGATTTGCACAAAATGCACAAATTAAAGATGTAGTATTGTTCATAGCAAAAATAAAGTGGAATTCCAGAGACTTCCAGCAGTTTACTTTTCAAAATTTTTAGTCAATAAAATCCCTAAAGGTACTTGAATTTAAAATTTAACACTCCCTCTACTTTCTAGCTATGAATATAGTAGATAATGTAGTTCAGAATACAGTACTTTGAATATGGACAAATGCATGAATATTACTCAAAATGTATATAACCCAAGAAATGTGACATGCGTGGGAGTTTTACATATTGTTCAAAATACTGTAGATACATTAATAATCCAATAATATGCACTAAAATTATGTACAAAAATTTGACTTTCACATTTCAAAACTTGGTATAAAAGGGATTAAGACTGTACTGTACCACTGAATCCAATAGTGCACAATTCATACAGGGCTGCCTGAATGTATTTCTGTACTGTAATCCATGCAGGTTGGGTGTTGGAGGTACTGTAATTCATCCTTTGAAGTCAACATATGGTGCATACTTGTGCATTATGATATGGGAATTTGACCACGGTGTTGCAGTTTGTCAGTCGTGAATTATTTTAGCCATATATGTATTGTCTAATCTTAAGTCTTATGCAGTCCAACTGGCTCACTGCATAAACTTGAGCAGTGGTTGCCCTGCTATTTTTAGGTCTTGCAACCAATTAAAGTTAAAATATTCTCTGGTACAACTCAAATTCATTGACACCATTTCCTTTCTTGAAGTGAGATGCAAATGTACCTAGTTTCTTCCTTTCCCAAATGTATGCTTATGCTTTTGTGCTATATGCTTAGTCTCCTCTTCTGCTTCTCATTCTGTTGCCAGGGATCCAGTTAAGAATGGCTTTGACAGCCTTATGACCATGTGTCTATTTGCTACTCATTGGCACCCTGCTTCTGGGAGAAATTCCCTAGACTTCCGGTCTTACAGCCAGATGCCTCCCAGTTCTTGTTCTCCTATATGGTTGGTCACAACTGATATTTGCCCACGTCTCGGGCTCTCCAATGTCAGGAGAAGCTTTCCGAGCCTCTACACACTAAGATCCAATACCTTGTACACAAATTGCTCTTTGCCTGTCTTATATATACACTGCTGACCTTCAACCCCATCTTGGCCACTCTCAACATCTTCCTCTATTTAAAACTTTTGATACCATTAGCTACATCTAGACTACACTTTCTGTACCACCTTCATTCAGTCACAAGGAAAACTGAGACCTCATCATCTTCCTCCTAAGATAAGAAACTTTCTGTTCCCAAAACGTCAAGCACACCTACTCCCTTTTACTTTTTTTATTCAGGTGTGTAGGTACAGAAGATGATTTTTGTCAGCAGGTTAGGTGTTTTCCCTTCCCATAGGAAATTTTAAGGGTTACCCTTAGTAGTTTTCACTGAAACACAATCCACCAGTCAGTCAACAACCAAGTCCCCAATTACTATTGGGTGAACAGCCAAATGATAAGGATCAGTTGTTAGTTGTCATTCCGTGGTTGGGTTTTGAACCAGGTGGGCTGAGCACACTACCACTGTACCAGAGGAACTGTTGTGAAACCTTGTGTTGTTCCAATTGTTTTGTTTTTAATTTAACCATCTTGAGGTTATCTTGAGATGATTTCGGGGCTTTTTAGTGTCCCCCCGGCCCGGTCCTCGACCAGGCCTCCATCCCCAGGAAGCAGCCCGTGACAGCTGACTAACACCCAGGTACTTATTTTACTGCTAGGTAACAGGGGCATAGGGTGAAAGAAACTCTGCCCATTGTTTCTCGCCAGCGCCTGGGATCGAACCCAGGACCACAGGATCACAAGTCCAGCGTGCTGTCCGCTCGGCCAACCGGCTCCCTTGCCATGCACATGAGAATTGTTTCTTCTATCCCCACTCCCGTTCCTTAAGGTCTGCACACCCATTACCCCAAACGTGCCCACTGCAATATCTTCTTCATTGTTAAAGTTGACTATTCCACCTAAATCAGAGTTTGCGAGGGGACTGGATACTCTATTATATTAGCTACTATTTCTGTGATGTGTGCTTTGTGGTATTGAGGTCCTCATTACTCTTTCATGTGACCTTACTTGATGCTGTCCATCACTGTTTTAAATAGTATGTACACTGGTGAAATCCTGACTGCTTATGCTGTTTTCTTCAATTTGGTAATTATCAGGTGTTAAGCCTGGAAGCAGTAGTACTTGGATAAATGATTGCATCACAAATATTATTTAAAAAATCCTATCCGTTGCTAGTAAAGTTATTCATTTTGCCAATTGGGAGAGACGAAGGTTTTATGTTCCTACAATCAATGTCTGTACTGTACTGTTTACCAATTCTTTGTATCTGGAAACAGATTAGCAAGATTGTCAGAAAATTCAGTCCTAATTTGATACCAGTGTTTTATATTAATCTGTTATTGCTGAACCAGTGTCCATTGCAAGTGAGCTTAAATATTGTATTACTGTTCTTTTTCTGCTATTAATACTGATTCTCACCTCACTCCTCACTTCCTTGCTCAATTATCTCCTTACTCTTTCTGAACTATAATTCGGTTCTATTCCTTTATCACTCCACAATAATGGGCTCCAATGGGATTCGTTATTGTTTGATCTGCCATGTCCCTCGCCACTTTTTAGAGTACAGTATTTATACATATAAACATGATGCCATACTCTCTTCCTGGGGTGGCAGCAGCAGTAAATTATCCAGGAGGCTCTATTACCACACAAAACTTTCACTCTTTTTCAAGCTTTCTTGTACCTTGCCCATCCTTTTGTTCATACATCGTGGTGGATGTGCCCTTGCTCCTCTTCCTTTTGCTGTCTTTGGGTGCTTTTTCATCTCTGACTGGTTCATAAGTCTTCAGAGCTTTTCCTGGTCTTTGGATAAGGTTTTGAAGTTTGTTTTCTCGCATTCAGGTTTGTTCCTTGATTGAGAGCTTCTTTTTTCTAGGTGGGTTTCCTTCTGGTTCTTCTTTCAACTGTTGCTTTGAGAAGCTTTGTGCTCCTTGTCAGAAGAGTGGTCTTTGGGCTGAGTTATGCATTCTTGCCTGAAACCGTTTCCTTTGTATTTGGCTAAGAATGAGTTTCCAGGTGTGTGCATTGGTCATTGAAACTTTATTTGTTTGGCACAATATGTATCATACACACTGTCCTGTGGCCACTGTTCAGCATTATTTGAGCACTACTTGCACTCTTTGGGTTGAGCCCATGTTTGTCAACCCTATGTCTCACATTATCATGTTCCAAGCTATTATATTGTTTCAAGGTGTATGCATGGATAAAATAGTAATGAAAACCCATAAGGATCAATCACATTTCGCTATTTGAGCACAGGAAGAAATCACAAGGAAATTTCTATCTTGTGAAACTTTACAAAGTTCTAATTATTGCTTAGTGTTTAGAGTAAAGTTTAATGGCTGTGTGGTCTTGTTAACCCTTTTTGTCTTGTCAGGATAAAATTTAAGTGTTGGTTGTATCTCATATTTAGTAGAAATAAGACAGATGAATTTTGCTGGGTTTCCAGTCATATTGGTGTTGTTTTCAATGAGCTCACTGCCTAAGTAAGAAAGAAATGAGAAACGAGTAATGCTCAGTGAACCAGCCGGCTGTTTAAGGCCTGCGCAAGAATAACCCTAAAAAAACAACTATTCTAATAGATGTGGCTGCTAAGGAAGCCATATATGTACAGTATAATAATAAAAATAATAATAATAATAATAATGAGAAAATCCGTAGGAGCCGTGATGAGGGTTTGAACTTATGCAGTTGGTGTTCCCACGCACACCTCCTAGTCAACTAGGCCACGACATGGTCAAAAGGATTGCAACCTGGCGTTCTACTGAGCTCACATGGGTTTCCTGAGGCTTCCACTGAAGCCGGACCAGGATTTAAACACAATCCCCCCTCATGCACTCTGGCTCTGTCATCCAAGAATATTCTACCTCTGATGCTCCTCTTTCAATACACGCAAAATCTACTAGGGCTAATGTGGGCACGAACCTACGACTATGGCATTGCCAAGCCGCATACTCTACCACTAGACCACCGACGACACGTCAGTCATACAACTGAACACGAACCATCCCCACTGCTGTGGGATGGTTCATCCCACAGTGCCAGTTCTGCATAGCAAAAATGGCCCACTAGATACTAATGTGATAAGTCAGCAGTGGTAGAGTACGTGACTGGCAATGCCGGGGTCGTAGGTTCGTGCCCACCTATAGCCCTAGTGAATTTTCTCATTGATATATATCACGTTAATGTGATTTCTGTGTGTTTAATAATAATAATAATAATAATAATAATAATAATATTTCATAAAAATAACGATGGCCAGATTACTTAGTAGGTTTGTATATTTTATAAGTCATTTCCTTTCTGGATTTCTATCCTGTTATTCACAATGTTGCATGAAATTGCTGGAAGGGTAGATGTCTATTTTTTACCAGTAATAAATTACATGCCATCAAATGTGACCCAAGGCCCCATGGCCTTTCTCCTCTAACCATATATAAAAAGTGGTAAACTTCCTTGATTTGGTTACTATCAGCAACACAAGATTAATTCATGGGCATTTGTTGGAATAAAAGCCTACCCTTTACATGCTAATTACAGTCTTTCACTTATGGTCATCCATCTCCTGTTGGAAGGTTCTAGTTTTCAGAATGATAGTAGGTCTTGCTTTCCCAGTTCTGTATAACTTTGAATCGCTTGTTCTGTGGTAAAATCCTTAGTGAATCTGATACCCTTGACATCGCTCATCTTACATCTTTTGGCACTAGTATTGGCATCCAGATTGATATTTAGGATCTTTTGAGTATCTTGCTCCTTAGTACTTAGTCTTCCTGGCTTGATGCCTTCTTTTGATAGTTACTTGTATTGTTCAACTTAGTCATCCATCTTTGCTTTGCTTCCCAACACAGGTTGACTTGTTTCTTTCTATTCTTGTATTGGCACCCTCAGTGATATATAGGAATTTGTTAATTGATTGTAACATTCATTGTGCTGTATAGTCAACTCATTTAGTGCTTTCTTTTGATACTTTAAATTTACCTCCTATAGTACTTCAGTATTGCATTCCTAACTACAGTACTTTCTAAAAGTTGTAAATAGGGTAATGTTGATTGTATTAATTTCTTCATATAATGCAATCTAATAATTGCTGTGTAATTTTTGTTACAGTGGGGAGACATCAATGCTCTTGTGATGAAACAGAAAAATAAAAGAGGAACAGCATTAATAGACTACAAGACCAAAAATGCAGCAGTAAGTCGAAGCTATTCCTTGCATTTTTTTTATCTAAATATATCTTTACTGAATTAACAAAATCATGTATTTAATTTGCCTAAAGTATAGTGCAGTACTGTTGTTGTGACAAGATATTTACACTCTTTTTACACCATTTTGAAGGGTATTAATATATTCACCAATGATATGAAGCCACTCTTAAATTAATGCATGAGATCAGTTACTATGCTATTTTGAGATTTGATTGAATGTGTTTTATTTTTATAATTTATTTCTTCACTGAACATAAGATACATTTTTAAGTTATTCAAATGAGCTACTTGTATAGTTCCATATTTTTGTTTTTCAGGATATGGCGGTGCAATTTGAGAAAGGTCAAATTGGCAAACCGGTAGAAGTTTCACGCATACGAGAGGCCCCTCAGAAGAAACCTCATGTTCCCAAAAATTCTGATAAGGAAGAAGAATCTAAGGAAAAATCAAATTTAGATTATGAATCTATAGCAGCCATGAATCAGCGGAGACAAGAGGAACGTAGAAGATTAATTGAAGAAATTATGAGAGAAGAGGGATTGACAAAATGAACTTGCCAAAGAATATTTTTTAAAGTCAAACCAGTTAAATGTTTCTCAACATTCTGTATTAATACACAAATTGATTGCTTTTGATGAAAATTATCTTTTTATAAATAATTTTAATCTGTGCAGCTCTTTCATTGTCCTTGTTTATATTGTTTTGTATCAAAGAAGCGTTGCATCTGTAATAAAGATGCAACAACATAATGTTCCTAGATTCTGTAGAGGGTAAAAGAGCAACATTCACTTTCCATATTTGCAGCATACATACTACTTTTATATTATTAACTTTCAAAAATTCAGAAAAAAGGTATAAAAAAAGTACAATATTGTAATAGGAAGCATATTTGTGTAAATAATATAATGATGTTTGAAGTCCAAGGTGATGGTGTGCAGCTAGTGTATCCTTCCAGGATGAAAAGACACCTGTGTAGGGGCCCCAGATCCTCCCACGACAAGGAGATGCCCATGTGGTATCTCCTTGTCGTGGGAGGATCCTGATGTCCCCTTGTTGGGGATAAGTGGTGTTTGGGTCAGTGAGTGAAGGATTGTTCGTACTCGAGTGGATAAACTCGTCTGGAGTTTTTAACTAGTTTAATTCTTGTTCTATGGTCAACAGATGGCTTTAGGCATGGTGACGGAATAAAGTTGCTTGGAACTCCTTCTGTCTCGGTTTGTTCCAGTGGTCTTGTCATTTTTGTATTGGTTGGTTGTTGATTGGCTTCTTAAGTCGAGTACTGTTAACTAGTTTCGTTCGGCCTTAGCAGATCTCCACTCGTTGGAGTTTGGTGTTGAGGTTGCATCGGTGCCATTTTGCATGTTTCTCAGCATTTTTTCACCTATGACCTGCGTACACTCCTAAGCCTTCTTGGTCTCAGTAAAAGTTTTTTTTTCCTCCTTGATTCTCCTTCCAGAACTGTTACACAGCTTTGTTTTTGTTGGCCCCTCGCTTTTGGTTGTAGGGTTGATTAGCTTCATACTTATCTTTGGAAAGTGGGATTTTTGTGATTTTGGTGTTAATTATTGTTTTCCTTGTTTAAAACCCCTTACCCTTTGTTTCTGGCTAAATGACAGCTGATTTCTAAAGGTATCCTTTGGTGGTTGATGCTTAATTTATTCGGCAAGGGGTGCATTATTTGTTGCCTGGCGTGTCCATTCATCATTACCTCCACACCCCTAATGGTGTGCAGGATAATGCTAGTTTGTGGACTTGGATTCTCTTGTTTCTTGTTTTAGGGCCTGGTTGTCTCAGGTCATCTGCAGTGTCATCCAGTCCAGCCAGCCTGCAGTCCCATGATGTTCGCAAGTTTATAGTTCTTTCCATAGTGCTGATATTTGGGCATGAGGGTTTTGGCTATCCATCAGTGTTGGCAGCTCAAACCTAGTTGGTCAATGTTCCTGGTTCAGGGGTTCTGCTCTTTGCTGCCCCTGGTGAGTTGTTCTTGTGTTTTGTTCTCTGTGGTGAGAAAGCAAGCATAGAAGCCCTCCAAGAAAACCAGCAGTGAATGTACAGTAATGAAATGTTTCTTTTTCTTTTCTATTGATTTGTGATTAGCTTGAGGTGTGCCATCCTGGTCACACCTAGATGGTGTGGGTGCCAGTATTGTGCACCCCATAATCATCTTGTGAGTGGCAGTTTATTGTGCACTCCATACTCATCCTGTGAGTGGCAGTTTACTGTGCACGCCATACTCATCCTGTGAGTGGCAGTTTACTGTGCACGCCATACTCATCTTGTGAGTGGCAGATTATTGTGCACCCCAAACTCATCCTGTGAGTGGGGTTATTGTGCACTCCATACTCATCCTGTGAGTGGGGTTATTGTGCACTCCATACTCATCCTGTGAGTGGCAGTTTATTGTGCACTCCATACTCATCCTGTCAGCGATAGTTTAATATGCAACTCATAAATATACTCATCCTTTTATTAGGTTTTTCTTGATAGCAGCCCTTATAGTTTAATCTAATTTTGACAAATTTCACAAAATACTAAATTCGTCAGGTTGTTCAATACGATCACAACTTTTTTTTTTAATCAAGATAAACAAACTGTAATCAATGTTTTTTTATGAATAGGGAACTTAAAAGTTAGTGTTTTTATCCAACTGAATTATAACATTTTATCTAGCATTTCGAATGATACGTTAAAAGTGACTAGTGACTAATAACCGACTAGGCTGTTGAAAATAAATTCAAATTTTGTTAATTATTATACTGTATTATTATTATTATTATTATTATTATTATTATTATTATTATTATTATTATTATTATTATTATTACTACTACTACTATTAGTATTATTTATATTATTATAATTTCAAGCTTAGTTTTTAATAGCCTTGCTTTTGTTTTAACGCCAAATTTCAAAGAACTTTACATTTATTTGCAAACGTCGCCGTAGGGTAAAGTAGTTTAACTTATATTTGATTTCTACGAAGAACATGAACGTTTAGGCACGTTTCCTTTCGCCTAATGCTCTTCATTTTTTTTTTGTCCTGATAGTAGGAAATAAGTACCTGGTAGTTATAGGCAAGTTAACTGTGTGCAGCTCACACAGACGAGTGTTCAGTCATTTGGGAAATCTATATAAAAGATGAAAATATGGGGTTGGGCCTTCGGCCGTGAGAGGTCACTGTGAGGAAAAAAAAAAAAAAAAGAGTTGCAGTGGTGTGATAACTTGAAGGACTCCATCAGTGCCCGTCTGACCAGTGCGGGGTGCGGTACGTCACAGCTCTTCCCGTCTCGCACCGCAGCTCTATAAGGCAAGGTATATTCAATGTTATTGTTCATAATCCAGTAAATGACAATAGAATTTCCTCTGAATATACTTGTGGATATAATTAACAGTATATAGTGACTTGGAGTGGCAGGATATTTGTGTTTTTTGGGGGAAGGAACCAAGCTAAGACCACCGTAAGAAGCTGTGTATTCGTCTTGGCGAATAGTACTTAGCATTTTGACCTATAACCAAGGGGTTATGACCCCTACCTAGGTGTTATGACCCCTACCTAGGTGTTATGACCCCTACCTAGGTGTTATGACCCCTACCTAGGTGTTATGACCCCTACCTAGGTGTTATGACCCCTACCTAGGTAACCTAGTTGAGGTTTTGACCCCTACGGTCAAAAACTGATGTACTAAGAATCTTAGCGGCTCGAAAAACTGACCTGATGTGGGGTTTTCTTGGGTCCTCGCCTCGGTTAGGTTCGGGCACTGTAGTACATCATTTTAGTGACGTTGTGGAGGCTCCAGAGGACGGGCTGGTGTACACTTGTATACACTGTGTGTATACAACTGTTATGTATACAGTGTATGTTTGTGTATGTTACGGGTGGCAGGTCAGTTATGGTGCGGCCCAGCATGAGTTACCGGTAGTCTGCTGGGGTGTGAGTTACCGGTAGTCTGCTGGCGTGTGAGTTACCGGTAGTCTGCTGGCGTGTGAGTTACCGGTAGTCTGCTGGCGTGTGAGTTACCGGTAGTCTGCTGCCGTCTCTCTGCTGGCGTGAGAGTTACCGGTAGTCTGCTGGCGTGAGAGTTACCGGTAGTCTGCTGGCGTGAGAGTTACCGGTAGTCTGCTGGCGTGAGAGTTACCGGTAGTCTGCTGGCGTGAGAGTTACCGGTAGTCTGCTGCCGTCTCTCTGCTGGCGTGAGAGTTACCGGTAGTCTGCTTCCGTCTCTCTGCTGGCGTGTGAGTTACCGGTAGTCTGATGCCGTCTCTCTGCTGGCGTGTGAGTTACCGGTAGTCTGCTTCCGTCTCTCTGCTGGCGTGTGAGTTACTGGTAGTCTGGTTGATACCTTGCTGGCGTGTGAGTTACCGGTAGTCTGCTTCAGTCTCTCTGCTGGCGTGTGAGTTACCGGTAGTCTGCTTCCGTCTCTCTGCTGGCGTGTGCGTTACCGGTAGTCTGCTGGCGTGTGCGTTACCGGTAGTCTGCTGGCGTGTGCGTTACCGGTAGCCTGCTGCCGTCTCTGCTGGCGTGAGAGCTACTAGTAGTCTGCTGTCGTGCGTGTTACCTGCAGTCTGCTGCCGTCTCTGCTGGCGTGTGAGTGTGGAATCCGCGTGGCGCCTTCCTCATCACACACACACACACACACACACACACACACACACACACACACACACACACACACACACACATTCTCATTGCAATTATGATCGCAATTTTATGCCCGAAGGCCACTTCGTGGGGGTTTGCGAGACCCACAATATGTAATGTGCTGTTTTGTTTTAGTCGTGGGTAGTGTAGTGTGGAGTGACGAGGAGTCTAGCCATGGTGAAATTATAAGAATTCTTTGTGACTCGTGTTGGAAGTCAGTGTCTTGGTGGCTTCCTCACGGCAGATAGTCAGTGTCTTGGTGGCTTCCTCACGGCAGATAGTCAGTGTCTTGGTGGCTTCATCACTGCAGAAGTCAGTGTCTTGGTGGCTTCCTCACGACAGGAAGTCAGTGTCTTGGTGGCTTCCTTACGGGAGGAAGTCAGTGTCTTGGTGGCTTCCTCACGATTGGAAGTCAGTGTCTTGGTGGCTTCCTCACGATTGGAAGTCAGTGTCTTGGTGGCTTCCTCACGGCAGGAAATCAGTGTCTTGGTGGCTTCATCACGGCAGGAATTCAGTGTTTTGGTGGCTTCCTTACGGCAGGAAGTCAGTATCTTAGTGGCTTCCTCACGGCAGGAAGTCAGTGTCTTGGTGGCTTCCTCACGGCAGGAAGTCAGTATCTTACTGGCTTCCTCACGGCATTCCACACACGGAAGTCAGTGTGAAGTCCCCGGGAACATTTGTAATAATATTATGATCTTCAGGAAGTCAATGTATAGTTGACGTATTAAGACATCACCGTGCCGTACATGACTACCGAATTCCATCAAATCCGTAAGTATGTAGTTGGTTGTTTGCTCTAATTCTTGTCTATATATGAAACACTGATGTCAAGATTAGTTGTGCCTTTTCGTTTATAAGGTTAGAATTGGTGAATAATGAGGACCGAAGCCTCAGTTGCTTCTGCGACTTGAAATATTGTAGTTTATCACATTTACACAATGGGCTATCTAGTGGTTAATTATATCAGCACGATAGGTTATCTAGTGGTATAATACCCCAGTACGATAGGCTATATAGCGGTCTTTTAAGCC